TCTTTTGAAAGAAAGACTTCAAAGGAAAGTGCATGCGTTCTTCTTTAGAAAAGAATTTCCGACAGTAGACAAAGTTCTTGCCACGGTTGGAGATGATAAGGATTACCCTGAAATGACGAAGCACACTATGGAAACTTTTAAAAGAAATAGGTTTTCTATGAAAAAAGCATTCCAGAAAGTCTATTTTAATAGAAAGCGATATTGTAGTATGGAGAAGAAATTACCTAAGGACTATAAAAGAAATGAGAAACCAAAGGAGAAATATATTTTATTTAGATGAAACATGGATCAACGAGGGACATAAACCAAATAAATATTGGCAAGATGAAACTGTTACAAGTCGAAGACATGCTTTTTTAAATAATTTATCTACTGGTTTAAATCCACCATCAGGAAAGGGGCGTAGACTAATAATAGTATACATCGGTAGTTCAAACGGTTTTGTTAAAGGTGGTTTATTGACTTTTGAATCTACTTGTACCGGTGACTACCATGAGGACATGAATGCTGATGTCTTTAAAGAGTGGTTCGAACAAATTATAGATCTTCTTCCTCAGAACTGTATAATAGTATGTAATGTTATGTTGATAATGAGGTGTTAATACACTGCGACCTAAAAGATCTATTGTGCCCCCTTCTGTCGCCACTGCACTAAGGAAATGTCTCAATGCCTATAGCGACCCTTCCAATCCTATTTTCTCAAGGAAGTGTAGGATTTGAAGTGGCTTCAAGTTAGGTAAGTCTCCCTCTTCTATTTGATATCCTCCTAGATATAGTGCCCTTGGATTCTGGAGTGCTACACATTCAGTTAGGATGTGAATGGAGGTTTCGTCCTCCTCCTCACAGAATCTGCACTCACTATCCTCTACTACTCTCAGTTTACTTAGGTGTCCTTTTAGTCGGCAGTGCTAGGTAAGGATCCCTGTTACAATACGTATGTATAATAGTAATGGATAATGCAAGTTATCACTCGAAACTTATAGAAAAAATCTGATGTGTCCAACACATGACTTTCCTATCTAGTTATATAAATATTTAGAGGATAAACTAAATATATACATTGTCCACATACATCTACCTCGAAACATTTTTCTATATTCATGGAAAACGAAAATACTGAAAAATTTTAATTTCCTACAATTTTTTCATTACGGTCCATTTTAGAAAAATCATGTATAAACAAAAATTATAGAGATCGATATCGCAAACAACTTTTATTTCAAAAACTTTCATAATAAAAATCAGAATTTTGCACGTTTTGTCAAATTTCTCGAATACGGACCATTTCAGGAAATTTTTACATAAAACAAAAATTACAGATAATAATATTAGAAGTAACTTTTATTTGAACAATTTTCCTCTCCAAACATAAATAACAGATATATTCCATAAAATATAAAAACGGCCTCCCATAAAGTACCCCCCAGATGTTCCGACTTTGTCCAAAATCTAATCATTTCACGTCAGGCCGAAATAAACCTTAAGTTTAAAATTTAATGTTTTTTTCTTTATCCGTTTTTGAGTTTTTTTCAAAATTCGAAATTTACACATTTTCTCAAATATCTCGAATACGGTCCATTTTAGAGAAATTATGTAGAGAATAAAAATTATAGAGAATTATATTACAAACAACTTTTATTTGAAAAATTTTTATAAAAAAATATTTTTTTTACATTTTGTCAAATTTCTCGAATACGGACCATTTTAGGAAAATTTTGTATAAAACAAAAATTATAGATAATAATATTAGAAGTAACTTTTATTTAAAGAATTTTCTTCTCCAAACGTAAATAACAGATATATTCCATAAAATATAAAAATGACCACCTATAAAGTACCCCCCCAAATGTTCCGACTCTGCCCAAAATCTAATCAGCTCATTAGACGCTGAAACAAAGCTTAAGTTTAAAATTTGGTGTTTTTCTGTGTATCGGTTCATGAGTTATGCGTTATACAGACACACACACACACACACACACACACACACACACACACACACACACACACAGACACACACACAGACATCATCGCGAAAATAGTCAAAACGGATTCAGGGGACCTCAAAACGTAAAAATCCGTCGAAAACTCGAGGTCGAAAAAAATCATGATTCCTATACTTTCCTTATATCTGTATACAGATAGGAAAGTAAAAATGCATACAACCAAGTGGTTAAAAAAAGATTTACAGAATTGGCTAAATTCAAAGAATATTAAGTTCCATCCCTGTTCTGTGAGAAAAGAACTGTATCATTTGTGTTCCCTTCATAAAGAGAAATTAAAAAAATATGAAATTGATGAAATTGCAAAAAATCGTGGGATGACGGTGGTTAGATTACCACCATATCATTGCGAAGTAAACCCGATTGAACTGATATGGGCACAGATAAAGGGAGAAGTTTCAAGAAAAAATAATTCTTTTAAAATAAGTGATGTTAAACAGTTGTTTTTGGAGGCTGTAAATAATGTGAAGTCTGAAAACTTGGAAAAGGCAGTAAATCATACGATTAAAGAAGAAGAGAAAATGTGGAAGTTATACAATATTACTGATGAAATGATCGAGCCACTCATTGTAAATATTGGTTGCGACAGTTCATCTTCTGATTTCGATTCTGATTTGGATTTGTAGGTAAGAAGTAGTTTTTATATTAAAATTATTATTTATGAACGTAACATTGTTTAAAAGTCAAAGTTTAAACTCTTATACCTACATAACCAGTTTGACATAATGTTCTTAACATACCTTGTGGAAAAATAATACATTTTAGAAAAAAATTGCACTTTTTTACCTTCAGCTGTTTAGAAGTTATAAGCAGGTTAATTAGGTGAAAATATAAGTGTATACTCGAGGAATAACTTCAAAAAATATTTTAACTGTCTACTAAAAGAAGTGATACGCCTATGGATTACGAACGCTTTATTATTTTAATACTCTCTCATGCATAAAAATAGACTATAGTATATAAATCATATCCTCCATTTCTGGGATAGAAAAATTCGTATTGTTCATCTTACTATTAGTAATTTACTTAAAACATTAACACACAGGCAGTTTCTCTTAATTTTTAAAATGTCAAAATTGTCAACTGGACGGTGATAGGTATATTAAATGCATTGGCGACTAGATAAAAAATAACACATATTATTTTTTATTATTTATTTTTTTTTTATTTTATTTTTATTTATTTTAAATGATAAATTATAAAGAGTGTTTTATGAAAAAATAGTTTAATTTATCGAAATAACCATAATTTTCATTTATTGTTAAAAAATATCGATAAATATTAACTTTAGGTATAGGGAATGCTTTATAAAAATGAAAGACTTGGAACAGATGATTTAACTGGTGATATAAAATATATGGTGTCCCATTTAAATAAAACAAGAAAATCAAGGGTCTGAGTATTGAGTCTCCCTGTATACAAATAAACAGATAATAAAAATATAACTAAAAAAGTATATTATATCATATTATAAAATTCGTTTGGGTAAAATTTTTTTTTCTACAGTGTGTAATTGGCTGCTGGACGTTGAATTATGTACGATTCTCTCACAAAAATGTCAATTCCCTGAAAAGTACCCTACATAACATAGACAAACCATATATTAGAAGAATGGAAAAAAGATGAGTAAACAGAATCTAAAATAATACACTGGGGTTATAATTAATAATATGTTTGGTTCGTACACGAGCTATGCAACACCCTGTATACCTCCCAATAATTTTAAAATGTTAACCTCAAACATGTCCATAATTCTCTTAATACACTTTTTTATTATCTCTTTCAACAAGGAAGATATCGAACTTTTCCACAAGATTGGTCCACCCTGTATATGGTAACTGTTTACAAAATTTTCGAAACACGTTATTTTTTGTTTTGGGAGGTGTGGGACACCGTTTGCTTCTGCTTCCTTAAACTTTAAAAATTTTAATTTAGTGAATAACTTGTGATTCATCATAGAAAAAGTAATTTTATGTGTTAATATTGGTACTCCAGAACTAAATACCCATTCTTTAGTGATAAAAATATTTTTTCCTACGACCACTTAGGAAAGTGACACATATCACACTATATAGACCTATGGAAAGTGCCCTATATCACACGCGTATGAATAAGAATTTACTTTCCACCCAAGTGAGAATATGCTACTTTCCGCAGTAGCTGTCAGAAAATGTCAAACACATAATTTCTATTTTGATCTATGTAATGTCCATATTAATACTAAAATCGATATGATTGTTAAATTATTGTAAATTAGATCCTAGATATTTATCTTTAACAATTATTTTTAAAATAATTTTAAAATAACTAAGATATATTTGCTTTTTATTCTGGTTAAACACATAAGCGATTAGATCAATCAATTACCGTAAGGCCTGTTAGCTCAGTTGGTTAGAGCATCAACTTTGCAATTTGAGACCGTCCAACGACCGCGATCGAATCCTGGCTGTGCCAGAATTTTTTTTTTATTTTTTTTTATTTGTTTAGAAATTATGAAAATTTAATAAATACGATTATTGTTGATTATTTTTTTAAATACATTTTAATTATTATAATAATCTGGTTTTACATTTTTTGATGAAATTATTTTGTGGTCGTAGGAAAAATATTGTACATCACTTGTGTGAAAAGTGATTTTCCACACTCGTGTGATAGTCGCACTCGGCTTACGCCTCGTGCGACAATATTTCCCACTCGTGTGAAAAATGTAACTTTCCACACTCGTAATGTAATATACTATTATTATCGTGCACTGTCGACTGGAATGTTCTTTGTACGCAGGCCGACGCATTTTAAACAAAACGGTTCCCGTTACTTATCTTTATCTCATTTATTTAACTGAGTTTTGAACAAAAAATGACATGTCTCGGCCATTTTGCATAAGCCACAAAACCAGCATATAATATTTAATAAACTTCTATAATTTCTTCATTTTTAATGAATGTTTCAAGCCACCAAAATTTATAATCTAATAGAAAAATAATTAAAAATGCTACTTACTTTGAACAATGGCCACCAGTATGATGTATATTTAGCTATGGATTTTGATTCCTTATAATTAGTCACTGGAGCGAGGCCTATCATAGCCTTTACATTGCTTTTAGCTTCTTCTGGATAAGATGTGGAATAAATAAAAAATCCTGTGGTTCCCATAGAATACCCTATGTAAATAGGAATCTGCCTTGTTTTTTCGTTTACTAATTTTATTATGGAACGGACATCATATACACCCAACTCGTGTAAGCTAAAAGTTTAAAAATTGTTTAAATGAAAGTTATCAGTACCAAGAACAAAAAGCATTCACAATTTTTAAAAATGTAATTATTAGTTTTTAAAAAGTAAGATAGTGAAAGAGACCTTTAGAAGATCCTCGTCGTATTAAAGCGTTTATTCACTATCCAAATCGAGAACCCACCTCCTAGGAAGTAAGAACAGAAAGCAACCAAAGATTTCAGGAATGCAACAAGGCATTATCTGCATCTTGGGAGCAATATGTGTTAGAGTCAGACGAAGACTTAGATTAAGACACTCCTACACGAAGTTTTAACTCAAGTGCAGAAGAAATAGACTTTCTACATGCAGTTCCCTAAGTGTATTAAATTTAAACATAGACGAGACACTAACCAACACCGACATTTTTACTACTAGGGGAGCGCGGTGAGGGTCTGGACGACGGGAGGGTATGGACACTTCAAAATTTCCTGGTCATAATACACGTGCATTATCTGTGTAGCGTCAAAACATTTGATTTTTAGTCGAGTTAGTACTCGACTAGACGCCGTACGAATCACATTTCGCGTTTGACTTTAATAAACATTTTTTGATTTGGGAGTGTTGGGACCTATTATTTGTGTGCAAGAATATAAAGGATATTTTGATTCCAGCTTGTTATTAATTATTTATTTTGTGGCCACACCTTAAGGTAAGTCTATAGATCATATTGATATATTGTTCATATTTGATTTAATAAACATTTTGTAATACAAATAATTTTTTGTCAATGTGTTCTTGAGGGAGGGTCAGGACAGTTGTCCAGACCGTCCCGTATGTGTCCAGAGGGTCCCACTTCTATCAATGGTTATGTGTTATTTTTCAGAAACATGCCTAGGAAGTACCGAAGGGTGACAGACAGATCTTTTCCTGCGGAAAATATGAAAAATGCCACAGAAGATGTTTTGTTGGGACGACTGTCTGTAAGACAGAGTGCAATTCAACATAATATTCGAAAATCAACTTTAGCAGTTTATGTTAAGAAAAGCAGGGAAAGCGGAATAGAAAATGTAAAATTTTTTCCACAATATGTAACAACACAAGTGTTTTCAGATGAGTTAGAATCCGCAATGGCTAATTACCTTAGAAATTGCTCAAACATGTACCATGGCTTAACGCCTAAATCTACGAGACGGTTAGCTTACGAGTTTGCTAAAAAAAATAAAGTCAAAACCCCACCTGCATGGGAAAAAACCATCAGGCTGGACGAGATTGGTTTACTGGCTTTTTATCCCGCCAGCCTAATGTATCTTTAAGAACGCCGGAAGGAACCAGTTTAGCTAGAATATCAAGCTTCAATCCAACCACTGTAGGTGACTTTCAGAACAAATTAGAATCTGTTTTAAAACGACACCAGTTTTTGGCATCTGATATTTATAATTTGGATGAAACTGGTGTTACTACAGTCCAGAAAGTACAAAAGATAATTGCGACAAAAGGGCAGCACCAAGTAGGTCAAGTTACCTCTCGGGAGAGGGGCGAGTTAGTAACACAAGTTGGAATCATTGCAGCAAACGGTACAACTCTGCCGCCAGTCTGGATATTCCCCCGAAAAAAATACGACCCACATAGAATGTTAAAAAATGTTCCTGCAGAATACGGTGCCATAAGCTTGGTGCATCAGAGCGGATGGATGACAAGTGACAATTTTCTTAAAGTTTTAGAACATTTTGTTAAACACGTTCGATGTTCTGCTGAACATAATGTCGTTCTTATCATGGATAATCACGAATCGCACCTGTCAGTCGCTGGGATAGATTACTGTAAAGAAAATGGAATAATAATTTTAACGTTGCCTCCCCACACGTCTGATCATTTACAACCTTTAGATAAAGCAGTATTCGGACCTTTTAAGCGTTTCTTTAATCAGGGAGCTGACGAGTGGATGCTTTCTCATCCTGGACAAACCCTATCAATATACGACCTTCCAGCAATATGTTGTAAAGCATGGGACAGAGGTGCCACTCCAAGTAATATTAAATCTGGCTTTAGATGTACAGGGATATGGCCATTTGACAAGAACATATTTACTGAACAAGATTTCCTATGTTCTTATGTAACTGATAGACCTGTATCTACATCGGAACCAGAAAAATCGGCATCCAATGACATACCAGTTACGAATTTGTCACCAAAAGCTGCTTCCTCCGAAGAAGTTGAAGCTGAAGCTTTGTTATATCCAAAAGCGGGTCCATCTACTGCACCAGACGACGAAAGAATCTGAAAACACTGAGAATCTTGAGGTCGGACATTTTCTAATTTGCAAAGTTTATGGTAAAAAGTCTGTAAGACAATTTGTAGCCAGAGTAGAAGAAGTAGTGTTTGGAGGCTACAATGTAAAGTTTTTAAAAAAACAGTTAGCTTCTAACAGATTTAAATATTCTGAAGAGCCTACATCTTTCGTTCCGTTTAATGATATTGTAGTGCAGCTGCCAAATCCTATAGCTGATAGGAGCTCTAGATACAAAGACATGATTTATTTTAATCGGGATTTAACAGAATACAGTCTTTTTTAATAATATTAATCTGGATTTAACAATACAAATTTTTAAATTTTGATTTAATTGATTTTTTTTACTTAAACTTGATTTAATATTTTTTACTGTTTCAAATATGTTCGAATGCTCAGAATTATTTATTTTTTGTATTATTCTATAATACCTTCCTAAGTTACTCATTATTGGTATGATTTTAATACAAATATAATGCTTATTTAGTACTGATATTATTAATTTATTTATGTCCATACCGTCCCCACCAGTGGGTAGGGTCTGGACACTCTGCATATGTTTTAATATGATTGAATTTATTTGATTAATGCCTTAATTGTACAATACTAATGTACCAATTTATTAATGGGTCAATTCGTTTACTAAACACAATTTTAAAATTTTTAGATAAATTTAAAAAAAAGTGTCCAGACCCTCACCGCGCTCCCCTACCAACATGGTTGTACCACTATTTAATGTCAAGAATCTGAGCATCCTCCCAAATTTCGATAAGAATCCAAACGAATTATACGAATTCATCAAGGTATACACCTTACTTCTAAACCATTATTACGATTGAAGCAACTTGTTCAACATCCAGAAGCAATTTTTACTCCCATGGGAAGAGCAAATTTCAATATATGGTTGTAAAAGCTGGGACTACAAAAAAATACGCTCATCCAAAACTTTGGGGATTAACATAATAAAAACATCCATACAAGAGACCTGGTAAACATGCAACAAGTTCCAAATGAATTGTGAATTATGGGTATTTTAAAATGCATAACAAACTATATTGAAGTACATACCTAGAATGCAGAAATAAAATGAAGGAAACAAAAATTCTTTCGCCAACAAGTCTTAACTACCTTTTTGGCCGGACTTCGAGAACCTCTGGGGTCTACAATATAAGCAATGAGGCCAACTAATCTAACCATAGCCATTCAATATATTCGGGAAGAAAATAATATTAGGTATGCCCAAAAAAGCTACTATCAGAATACAACACCTCTAAATGGAAGAATAACCCACAACGTTCAAACTCCAAGGCGACATATTCACCAACAACAGCCTGTCTATTATACACAACAACCACAATTATAATCTGCTCCAGCAGCACACCATGGCAGTAGCAAGTTTTCAAAACCACCACAACTTGTGGCAACACCGATGATGAAATTTACAAACCCCCAACCTCCTTTTGGATCATAATTCCAGAACTACCAAAAACGATTCTTTAATCAGCCAAGAACAGATTTGAGATATCCAACATTTAAACCAATGCAGCAACAAAACCTTGGGCACTAAGATCTGGCCCATCGGGACAACCCAAGTCAACACCAGCAACGAACAGAAATCGATCAATGAACCCGAAGCCTCAACAACCTCAACCAAAATTTACTTTTGAAGAGCTTTACACCATCGAACAATGTGACGAAAATTCTTTTGAAGAAAACGCTAGTTACGAGGTAAGCGCCAATAATTCCCGGCCTGACATAGTTGCAGATATTTTATCATGATAAAAGTTTAACATTTTATAACTACAAACCTTAGTAGGCTGTGGTAACAAAATAAGCGACTTACGTCAAATAGTTTTTAATTGTCAGCATTTTGAAACAAAGTATCTCCGAAAATGTCTCAGGTGACGAAAATTGAGTACAGAGCGGTTATTAAATTTTTAACAAAAGAAGAGCTTACACCTAAAATTATTAAAGAAAGACTCGATGGCGTATATGGCCAAAGTTCCCCTTCCTATTCCTAATTTTTATTAATTTAATTTTTATTAATTTTTATTAATTTTTATTAATTTTTATTAATTTTTATTAATTTTTATTAATTTTTATTAATTTTTATTAATTTTTATTAATTTTTATTAATTTTTATTAATTTTTATTAATTTTTATTAATTTTTATTAATTTTTATTAATTTTTATTAATTTTTATTAATTTTTATTAATTTTTATTAATTTTTATTAATTTTTATTAATTTTTATTAATTTTTATTAATTTTTATTAATTTTTATTAATTTTTATTAATTTTTATTAATTTTTATTAATTTTTATTAATTTTTATTAATTTTTATTAATTTTTATTAATTTTTATTAATTTTTATTAATTTTTATTAATTTTTATTAATTTTTATTAATTTTTATTAATTTTTATTAATTTTTATTAATTTTTATTAATTTTTATTAATTTTTATTAATTTTTATTAATTTTTATTAATTTTTATTAATTTTTATTAATTTTTATTAATTTTTATTAATTTTTATTAATTTTTATTAATTTTTATTAATTTTTATTAATTTTTATTAATTTTTATTAATTTTTATTAATTTTTATTAATTTTTATTAATTTTTATTAATTTTTATTAATTTTTATTAATTTTTATTAATTTTTATTAATTTTTATTAATTTTTATTAATTTTTATTAATTTTTATTAATTTTTATTAATTTTTATTAATTTTTATTAATTTTTATTAATTTTTATTAATTTTTATTAATTTTTATTAATTTTTATTAATTTTTATTAATTTTTATTAATTTTTATTAATTTTTATTAATTTTTATTAATTTTTATTAATTTTTATTAATTTTTATTAATTTTTATTAATTTTTATTAATTTTTATTAATTTTTATTAATTTTTATTAATTTTTATTAATTTTTATTAATTTTTATTAATTTTTATTAATTTTTATTAATTTTTATTAATTTTTATTAATTTTTATTAATTTTTATTAATTTGTATTAATTTTTATTAATTTTTATTAATTTTTATTAATTTGTATTAATTTTTATTAATTTTTATTAATTTTTATTAATTTTTATTAATTTTTATTAATTTTTATTAATTTTTATTAATTTTTATTAATTTTTATTAATTTTTATTAATTTTTATTAATTTTTATTAATTTTTATTAATTTTTATTAATTTTTATTAATTTTTATTAATTTTTATTAATTTTTATTAATTTTTATTAATTTTTATTAATCTTTATTAATTTTTATTAATTTTCATTAATTTTTATTAATTTTTATTAATTTTTATTAATTTTCATTAATTTTTATTAATTTTTATTAATTTTTATTAATTTTTATTAATTTTTATTAATTTTTATTAATTTTTATTAATTTTTATTAATTTTTATTAATTTTTATTAATTTTTATTAATTTTTATTAATTTTTATTAATTTTTATTAATTTTTATTAATTTTTATTAATTTTTATTAATTTTTATTAATTTTTACTAATTTTTATTAATTTTTATTAATTTTTATTAATTTTTATTAATTTTTATTAATTTTTATTAATTTTTATTAATTTTTATTAATTTTTATTAATTTTTATTAATTTTTATTAATTTTTATTAATTTTTATTAATTTTTATTAATTTTTATTAATTTTTATTAATTTTTATTAATTTTTATTAATTTTTATTAATTTTTATTAATTTTTACTAATTTTTATTAATTTTTATTAATTTTTATTAATTTTTATTAATTTTTATTAATTTTTATTAATTTTTATTAATTTTTATTAATTTTTATTAATTTTTATTAATTTTTATTAATTTTTATTAATTTTTATTAATTTTTATTAATTTTTATTAATTTTTATTAATTTTTATTAATTTTTATTAATTTTTATTAATTTTTATTAATTTTTATTAATTTTTATTAATTTTTATTAATTTTTATTAATTTTTATTAATTTTTATTAATTTTTATTAATTTTTATTAATTTTTATTAATTTTTATTAATTTTTATTAATTTTTATTAATTTTTATTAATTTTTAATAATTTTTATTAATTTTTATTAATTTTTAATAATTTTTATTAATTTTTAATAATTTTTATTAATTTTTAATAATTTTTATTAAATTTTAATAATCTTTATTAATTTTTAATAATTTTTTTTAATTTTAGTTTATTTTTATAATACTATACCATACAAAAATCTAACCACAGAGCACGTCATTATTTATTTATGCTACAATTATAATTTTTAAGTTCTAACGTTCAAAAAATGTATACTTCTATACAAATTTTTACCCCCGTTTCCCCCCCTTAAAATGTGAGAATTCAAAAACCATGAAACACATCATTTTTGATTTTTAATCAGTAGCTGTAATTCAAATTTTTATATTTCAAACTTTAAATAACAAAAAAATATATACATACTATTAAACAAATTTCCCCCCCCCCATTTTCACCCTTAAAATGTTAAAATGGAAAAATCCTGAAACACTTCATTATTTTTTATGATGAGAACCTGCAATTCCAATTTTCAAGTTCCTACCTTTAAAAAAATCGATATCTCCAAATAAACTTTTACCCCCTTTTCCCCCTCTTAAAATTTAAAAATCAAAAAATCCTAAAATACGTCATTATTAATTTGTATTCATTAGCTGCAATTCCAATTTTTATGTTTCCAACTTTAAAGAGAACCAAAAATATAGATACTCCCAAATAAATTTTCACCCCAAAAACCCTCAAATACGTCATTAATAATTTGTAGTCAGTAGCTGCAATTCCAATTTTCATGTTTCTAACTTCAAAGTGAACAAAAAAAATCAATAGTCCCATACAAACTTTCACTCCCCGTTTTCCCCCCTTAAAATGTGAAAATCGAAAAACCCTGAAACACGTCATTAAAGAGTTTCATTAAAAGTTCCCTCCCCAATTTCCTCCAATTTCTCCCCTTTACAGTTAAAATTTTGAAAAATCCTTTCTTAGCGGATGCTTACGTTATAAAATAAACCTATGTTCCAAATTTCAGCTTGCTAGGCTCAGTAGTTTTGGCTGTAGGTTGATAGGTCAGTCAGTCAGTCAGGACAAACAATTTTTATTGTCTATGTAGCTATTTTAGCAACACGTAACTAGGCAGGCGTTTTTATAACTTACGTATATTTCCAATAATTTGGATCTTCTGTTGTTAAGTTCACATGTCCTTTACTATACCATGTGCCTCTATAGTTCAGCATCCAAACGTCATATCCTAAATCACCTAATAATCGTGCTAGAAATAAGACAAAAATAGCCACTAAAAACTTTGCTGCTTGTATGACACCCACCAAAACATAATTTTTACGAATTCAAAAATAATGAGTCAAATAAAAGGCAAAAAAGATTCAATTGGCCGTGTCTGGACTTGATGTGCTTTTAACAAGTTTTTCTAGTAAGTTATTTTGAGAACGTAATGATACTATTTAGATTTAAATAATATATTATTATTACAAATATTAATCATATAGAAAATAACGAATTTTTTTTATTTCTTTCTCTAAAAATTATATCAAATTTCAAATTATGTTTATGAACTTACCTAAAGATACATTGCCTCTATTCACCCATCCCAAGGCACTCATAGCTATTCCATGAACTATAATTATTGGAGTTTTTTGTGTAATCTTCGAATATGATCGTTCTACCAATAATCTGTAGCCATCTTCAGTTACAATGTAATGCTCTTCTGCTCTGAAACCTCGCCAACTTTGAATTATTTCACTCTTAAAAACAAAACACAAAATAAAGAATAAATAATACAGTCAATAGAAATTTGTAAAAAAACATTTCTACTTTTATTTGGAAATCTCAGTACCTAATTATTTTAGTCAATACAGATTTTTTTATACAGAATAACCGGTAGCCTCCATAATAAAACAATTTTGTTACACAGATTTAAAATATTTTATTTTCGTCAATGAAGATGGCCGCATTTGAGTAGTTGAATACCTTCTACGATTTATTTATTATAACTAGAAATAGTTAAAAATATTTAATTTAGACGAACATACTTTTTAAATAGGTTTTTAAATATTATCTATTATTATTGAATCACCTTGTATAAGAGTAATTACCCTGTATAAGGTAATCAAGTTGTACAGGGTATGATTAATATAGTTGAAAATTATTTTTTATTAGTTTTACAATGACATATATTAATATTATTAATTTATGCTTAATATACTTCTAATTATTTTGATTTCATTAGGAATTTATTGTATTCTGCAAAGCCTTACTGTTTATAATCTATATATAGAGGTTATAGCGCCTCTATAAAGCCCATGAGACTGAAAATACAATTTCAAACCCTTCGAATATCGTGAAAGTTCAGATTTAATCGATGTTACTTGTGTATAAATTGCCATTCCTAACGCATAATAATAGACCCGCGACAGTGCCAAACTTATCAGCAGGCTTGTGCTTGTTAAAACGGTATGAGTTATTTTCAAATGCACTTCCTTGCAGCGTTAAATTCCTTGTGATATAACCAACATTTTACATATACTGGGTGCCTTATCAGTGCGTAATTGATCGATAGCTGTTTTATTATAGCAAATGCGAAGATATTGTTATGCAGCACCCTGTGGTAGCCTGTGGCTATCATAGGAAACGTACAGATAGAAGAAGAAGAGGAATGTTACTCATCGCTCTACAGTGTGCTGCGGTTCGTCATAAGTAAAAGTACAAGTAAAAGAAGACAGAATATTCCAGAAATGTCCAGAAATGTCATTACACGTCAAGAACATTCTAGATGACATTTCGAGAAGGTTCGAGAAGGTCAACAAGCTATATAAGTCGACGACCAGACGTCAGAGTTTTAGTTTTATGATAGACGTTATACGTGAATGTTATCAGTTGTAAAGTTATTGTCAAAGTTGAATTACAGTTATTGTAAAGTTCAGTTGAAATAAATTGTGATACCAAAAACCAGCGTAACAATATTTTTAATACTACCATATTTTATAATTATTCTTAAGGATACAGGGTAGTTCATAAATGGGGAGCGAATCAAATGTATACTTTTTTAAACCAAACATCCTGTAGGTAGTTACGCATAAAAGATTTGGTTGCTTTCGTTAAAAAATGTTTTAATTTTTTTTCTTTTGTTACGATGTATACGATATTGTCAACTGTTTCAAGTTCAATACTCTTTGTTATATTTTATATATATTTTTTTTGGCATTCCACATACCCAAATGCATTTTTTTTCTATAGATTTTGTTTGTTTTATCATGATAATTGACATAATTTTAAGGTAAAATGCTAATATCTTTTTTGGTACCCCATTTGTCAGAATTAAAGAATGGTTTTCTATTTCTTCGACGTTACAAGTAATATGAACAACTGCAAATAAAATAAAAAATTGCGTTTTGCTATGAAGAATGCCAAACAAACTTTTACGAGACCGAACGCAAACCGCTAGATTATAGGAGCAGGACCCTTGCTTACTGCAGCACACAAAAAACGCAGACTTGCTTTGCTCGCGAACATATAAATTGAACAGTGGACGATTGGAAAAATGTACTGTTCACGGATGAGTGTAGAATGTACATACATGGAAAAGATGGTCGAAATAAGGTTTACAGAAGAGCTGCAGAACGTTATGCTGCCTGTACTCGGTCACCTCGAGTTGCTTTTGGGGGTGGCTCAGTAATGTTTGGGCAGAAATTTCTTTTAAGGCTCACACAGATCTCGTTATTATTGACAGAGGCGCATTGACATCAAGACGATACATAACAAAGATCCTAGAAGAGCATGTAATGCCATATGCTGGGTTTGTTAGTAATCGTTTTCTGCTAATGCAGAATAACGCGCGACCACACACGGCAAGGATGGTAACACAGTGCCTTGAAGAAGTTGTTATTCCTAAAATGGATTGGCCTCCTCTAAGCCCGGATCTTAATCCTATTAAGCATGTTTGGGACCAGCTTAAAAGATGTGTAAAACGTCGCATACCTGTTCCATCAACACGCGAAGAGCTCGGTTGACCCTTATTGAGGAATAGACCACTTTTCCACAAGCCAAAATTCAGACTTTGCTGATTTCTATGCCCAATCGAATGAGGAGTGTCATCCAGAATCAGGGTGGCAATACACCGTATTCAAAACGTGATCCTCGCCATTTTTACCTCTTTAATTTAATTATTGCAAAGTAAACTGGTACAGTTCATCAAATTTCTAGAGGTGTTCGAAGCCCAGACAGAGAACGCGCTACTTGTGACTGAGATAGCTATTGTACAGTCTGCTAAACAAGTTATTTTAAATAGTTTTTAATATTTTTAGGTAATTAAATTTTAAAAGTGTGGAATAGTTTAGGGATTAAATTGGTCTGATTGGACTTTCTTAGAACGTTTTTAAAAGCAGCTAAAGATAGTATGTAGAATTGAAAATAATTATTATGCCATAAAAGGTGTTTTGGAATTCCTTCAACCTTTTGAAATTGAGTCAGAAAATATAAATTTTATAGGATAGCGGAAAATACCTATAATTTTTTTGTAGGCCTTTGTAAATGGTGGAAATAGTTTATATTTTATTTCTACCTTATTAAGGAAAATGGTACCTATTATTAATAACGGTTGTTTCTGAAACATTACTAAAATTTTCGAAATTTTGTTTTTCTACAAAATAATAAACTATACTATTTAGAAAAAAATTTATTTCTCTTATAATTTTATAAAAAATAACAGGGGAATATTTACATTTCTTGATCTATTAAACAAAACGATAAATTATCTCGACGAATGACACCATGTTCTAGTACGGAAGCTAGCTTTACATTTTTGTTGGTGGTTTCATGGGTTTCATAACAATTTTTTGTAATTGTAGTTTACACGTACATATACCTCTTAACACTTGTTTGCTTTATTAAAAAAGTGTGTTGTTGTGATTTACGTCGAAATAAGTCAAAAACAACTTGAAACCCCATATAAAATCAAAAAGCAGAAACGGAAAAAAATTGAGCCTGTAAATGAACACAACTCAGAAACAAAAATAGCTATCTAATAATAAAAAAATAAAATTTGATTCTTGTGTAGCTTCATCTATATCAATAACTGTTTTTGGTTTTTTAATGGTTTTTCTTGGTGATGAAAATTCCGATATCTCACGGTTATCGATTCTTTTTTTCTCTCCAGAAATGCGGACGACAGTGTTTTTAGATACTCCTGTGGCTGCAGCAACACGATCATTTACATTTTTAAATGGTATTGAAGGTGAATTAAAGTTTCCTTCTCTTCTCATAAACTCTAAAACATTGGCTATTATTTCGCGAGATTGACTGTTAATCACGCGGCCTCTTAATTTGCTATTAAACTCCATACTTAGGTTCTATTAAACTGTAATGAGCAAAAAACACAAACGAAAATAAAAGAAATGTTTTAGCGAAATTTACATCTGACATTTACGTCTGAATGAAATAGTGAAATACTTGATGCGCAGAGTGTACTTTCATTGCGTAAATCCGTCGGGATGCCTGTCAGTAGTGCTTTCTCTGTCTAGCCGTCGAAAGCCTCTATACTCTGTTTTTTAACTAGGAGGAGCGAATTGAAACGACGCATTTACACAGGGAAAAGTAACTAGATTCGTTACTAAGAGTGTGTTTTGAAATATAGTCTGGTTCAAAATCTATGAAATAGTTATTATTATCGGCTCTAGTCGGCGCCGTCCAATAAGGGGTTAAGAGCGAATAAATGTCATAGGAGTCGCAATTTTTATTGGACCCAAACAACTGTAGTAAATTTCACTTTATTTTGATCTGAAACATGTCTAAAACGAATTGCCAAATGAAATTCAATATGGCCGTTGATTTATTTACGATATAGTTTGAGAAATATTTTTTTCTTGCTTTTAAAATCGACTTTTTGAGAATATCTATTATCTTTTTGAAATAGAGATTGAATATTTAAGAAAATTGTTAACAGAATATCAAGATGCAGATTGGTATAAAATATAAAAATATGGTCTGTTTACATTTTCAAGGATATATTTGTTATATGTATAAACTTAATTAGTGGCTTGGACACCTATAACATACAATACTTTTTACTCTCAGTGAAAATCAACTGGATTTGGAGCATATATTATATGCTCGAAGCAACTGGATCACACAATGACTGGAATTTGTTCTATGAGTAACATAGATTTACTGTAGCTTATTTAGTGTTAACACATGGTTGATACGCTAAAGGGCAAATGAAGGCATTTAAAAGCTTATTGTCAGTCAGGATTTGTTTTGAAAACTAGAACAAACATTTTCATAACACTACAAACATGTCAACATTATATCATTACTGTTAAATATTTTATAAATATTTTATTTTGTAAATGATAAATTTTCTAATAAAGTTTACTTCAATATTTAATTACAATTTAATCATTTTGGTAAGAAATTTATCAATTCTTAGTTTAAAAAATCAGTAATAAGGTTAGTTTTTTTTCTATAATACTTCTGAATTCATTTCTTATGGCAATCTTCCGTCTTTTTGCCTTCACAAATCAACAACGCCTTTTCTACAAAACCTTCTTTAGAACTAGCATGCAAAATAATAAGGCGTCTCCCCTTACTTGAATTGCTTTTGAGGAACTGCTACCCATATTCCATGTAAAATGACAAATAATTGTAGAAATTCAATACAATTAATTGCTTACTGATATTCTAAAAAGAACTGTTAACGAAAAAAATTAAAAAACTAGTAATAATGATGAGATATCAAAGGGATGAAAGC